GTATAAAAAAATCATCTCATTCCTTTCTTTCCAAATAACCAGATGATAGCCAATGGAATGCTGAAAATAACCTTTTTTGGTTCTTACTCACCATAAATATCATCTCATGCTCATACTTTAAAATTGAGCTGGTTGTTGCCCATGACAAATTGAGGAAGGACAAAGATGAATCCCATACTTTGTAGCCTTAACACACCAAGGGATGAGATAGTTAGGGGATTCACTTTCCTGCAAATGCATAATATACCCATTTATAATAAGCCTTCCCACGTCTTCAAATTATCTGGCATAAGAATTTTCTTCCAAGTGGCCTCCCAAGCAAAGAAAGCCATATGTCGAGAGGCTTTTTTCTTCCAGATCTGCTCCCACAGGAATCTTGAGGCAACAACATTATGAGAAAGGAGATTAAGGCAAAAGGGCTGCACGGAGAACATCCATTGTTAAAGTGATGATCACTAGTAGGAAGTTCAACTGACAAGGATCAGGGAATGTGGAGAGATACGATATCTTTGATCTTAATATCATTAGGGTTCTACAACAATGTGATGTTCCACAAAGAAGGAGAGACACGAGTATGGACTACAATCCCTAACTAAGTATCCTTGTCACTAGCAACAACAAGGGAATCTACCTTTGGAGGGGTCTATCGCTATGCCACCATTTTACCCAAAAACTGAATGTCTGATAGTTGCCAAAGATAAACAACAATGCATCGAAATTAGCTCGAATCCTTACTAATCCAGTTCTAGAGGCTAGTACCATAAATGTGAATGACAACCTTTCAACCTCTTCTTTCCAACCCGTATTTGGCGATCATCTTGGTTTTTCGCTATGAGTTTTGGCAATCAAGCAACAACAAAGGAAATCTACCTTTATGCGGTCTATCACCACGCCACTGGGCTACCCAAAAACTAAATGTCTGACCATTGCCAAACATGTCTCTTTTTATGCTATTTAATTGCTAGCTAGTCATGGCATGCTTAGAATATCTGATCTGTCAAATAGGTTCATTTTCTTGAACTTGTAACCTTGATGAACTAAAGTGAAAAGAAGCATCTTTTTTTTTTTTGAAGTAAAACATGATTGGTATTAAAAGGCTCCCAGGGAGTCCAGTCCATATACAAGATATTTACTAGTCTATTAAAATATCAAGGAGGTCTCTGAAATCCTCATATCTATAAATAGGACAAGCTTTCGTCAAAATGCCTAGGGTCTGGAACCATAAGTCTTTTTATCAATTAAAAAAAAAAGATTCTATGCCCTTAAAAGTTTCTTGTTTCTTTCTTTCCAAATAAATGATAAGGTAGCAAAGAAGATAGAGCTAACGTCTTGTTGTAGCATGTATATCTATAGATGCCTCTCCAGCCCCAGGGCTCCTGTTTCACAAACCTAGCAGATCTCAATTTTAAGTCTATGTTTATTTGTTATCTAGTTTGAGTTATTCCTTAACAATATGGAACATATATATGTAGATTCAATCTTTTCTTTTTGTTGGTTCTTTATTTCGGTTCTCTTCATTGTCATGCATAACTAATGACTATATATTTCATTTTATTTGCCTGCTTGGAGATTTGTGGATAAACTTAGATTTATGTACTTCAATTCGTTTCTAATTGAATTAAATGGCAAACTCTTATAAGAGGCTTAAAATAATCTAAATCAAAAATAAAATCCTAGTATTACTATAATACCAGTTTTGTCCATATTATTACAACAAATGTCATATGTTAAAGAAATTCAATTCCTAATCTATTTAGAAACCTCATTAACTAGATCGTTTCCTCATCATACTTCTCTTGTTGGAGAAAAACTGACCTTGAGTTTTGAGGTGGCAAAAGATGACAAACAAGATGTTGGAACATTGTAGACAAATTCTGGGCAGTTTGTGATTTGTCGTCTTCAGCAAAAATGGAAATAATAGAGATATGTAATTGGAGGGGATTGCAGACCTTCTAGGTAATATGGGATCAATAAATTGACAAGTTTCTGCCTCGTGTTTGTCCTTGCATTGAATATCAACATACTCTTTGGGTGAAAGATCTTGAGCAAATCTTAAAATCTATTTTTCCCATGAGCTTTTACTGTTGGTTCTTCTTGTTACTGTACTTGTTTTTAAAACTTTGGAACATCTATGTTCATATTAGACCTCCCTTCTCGTCACAAGGTTTAAGGACAATTACCTGTAACAATTAGGGGTTGGAGAACCTCATCATTATGCTTAGCACATTTGGAAGCATTTTGATATTTCTCCCGTGATCTTGGGAAAGTATTAATTGCATTTTCCACATCATGTACTCTCATAATCAGAGTAGTTAAATCTTGGTCTATTTGTGATCTCTTTGAAAAGTGTCAAGTTGTTTGTTCAACTCACTGTTACTTCAAAGCTAAAATCATGAGATGCAAACAGATGAATCTACCTATTATTGGCAGCTAAATGCGAGGAGATCCATGCTTGGGAACAAGTGATCAACAAGTTTGAGTCTGGATTGGCTGCTTCAAAAAGGGGTCAGCTTTGAAATTGCAGTATATTGATTTTAATATCTTTTTTTGAAATATAAGACAAGAAAAATTATTTACAAAGGTACTAAAGGGGTACCACCCATGTACAAAGTATATATTACAAGTCTATTAAGTGGCTTATGACCTAACCAAAATCATCCCAATCTATAATGTCATGACCTAACAAAATAGAACCAAAAGTATAGATCCACTTATCTTTAATTTTTGTAATCTTAGTCTCTATGCCCTCAAAAGCTATTTCATTTCTTTCCTCTCACACAACCCAAAAAATAGTTTGTAGAATAAGGAACAAATGTCTTTGGATTTTAATTGATTTTAATTAAAATCACATTAGCTAGCATTGCCACATAATGTCTCTGGAAACAATCGACTGCCAGTTGCTAAAAGACTAGAAAATTTCCCATACAACTTTCTACGGGGAGACATAACAGAGAATAGAAAATATCATTTGGTGGACTGGGACAAGGAGAGACAACCATTTAGGAGCGGTGGCTTGGGTTTGAGATCCTTGACAAGCTTGAATACAGTGCTTTAAGAGAAGTGACTTTGGAGATTTATGATGGAGCAAGAGAATCCTTGAAGGAGAATCATTGAGGTTAAACATGGGTGAGTTGGACATGGGTAGTTCTCCAACACTCCCAAGGGTCCACATGAAGTGGGTTTGTACAAAAGAATTAGCAGGGAGAAGGAAGACTCTGTAAATGCATTAGGTGATCTGTATGGTTGGGGACAGAGTGAGTTTTTTGAGAGATGACTGGTGGGAGAGTGGCCTGGTATTCCATCAATTTTCGAACATTTATGCTGTCGCACTTGATAGGGATGCCATGGCAAAGGATTACATGATAGGCCAAGGTGGTAATAAGGACTGGTGGATAGGGCTAATGCAAAACTTAAATGATTGGGATCTCAGAGTATATGAACATGTTGGAGACATTATCATATTTCAAGAGGGTTAGTCTACTAGGGATGAGCCATGTTGGAATTAAATACTTCAGGTGTCTTTTCAGTGAAATGATACTACTAGTTCCTTCACCGAGATGGGCCGGAGGAGGTGAAATTTCTGGCTAGGCTGATTTGGAAAGTTGATGCAACACCTGGGATTGCTTTCTTCACGTGAGGGGCTGTCTGGGGATCCATTCTTACCTTGGATAACCTTATTAAGAGGGAAAAATTTCTTGTGAATTGCTGCTACTTGTGCATAAGAGAAACAAAGTCCTGCAACCACATCCTTTGGTGGTGTCCTTTCCCATATCATCTTTGGCGCTTGGCGATTAGATTGTTGGGTGTGGACTGGGTCACAGCCAGTTCTATGGAGGAGCTATGGCCTATGGGCTATGGGCTATGGAGTGGCATACAAGGAGATAAGTGGGTTGAGACTCATCCCATTAGCTATCTTTTGGTGATTTGGAAATAGAGAAATAGAAAGGATTTTGAGAGCATTAATTCTAATTTTGACACTAAAGGATCAGTGATTCCATACCTGAGTTTTTTGTTAAGGGAAAAACCATTGTATTCTAATGAGGATATTGTGGAGCTTATAGATATTTTGGTTGACTTGTAAAAAATAATATAGGGACAGCACCCTCTTGGTGCTCTTGAATATATCTTCTACTTTTTATTTTAAAAAAATTTCTAAAATGTTTGAGCCCTAAATTCAGAGAGCTAAAACTATGTAAGCAATTCCTTTTCCTACAAAAAAAAAAAAAGACTAAGCAATTTATACAACATATTTTTATATTCTGTTGGAGCATATTTCTTTTTGCTTCTCTTTTTGGGGATAAAAGATGACTAAAATGTTATTCTTTAAGTTTAGAGGATTTTTTCGTTAATCTTGTGAAATTGTTCTAATATATTTGTTAAATCTCAAAGCATCACCATGATAATTTTCATCAACATTTATAAAAAAAATTTCTAGAAAATGTTGAAATAGAATCAAGCCAAAATATTTATAGCGTGGTTACAACATTCTATTCCCCTTGTTAAATCTGAGTTACATTTAGAAATTTCATCAGCATCATTATTCTTGCCTGGAGGTGTGCATTATTGAGGTAGCTCATCTTAATTTGTTTTTAGTTATATTCTTTTTTGCTAATAATTGGTAAGCAGCTCTGCTATCCTGATTTGAGGCTAAGTGGATCTTTTAATCATCTATTATTTTCTGTAATTCAGTGGAAAAAGAATCAAAATAAGGATCTTGTTGTCTGTTAGCATTGTTTGCTGTGACATCTATTCACGGTTCAATTACTGAACTTATCATCACTTTTGACTTCATAGATCCAATTCTCAGGCAACCATCCTTGGCACCAGTAATGGAGGTATTGTATTCTCATTTTGGCCTGTCATTGGTTAGTATCTGCCAGGAATTTTTCTTGATTGACATAAAATTTTCTAGGGAATGTCAGCAAGTGCAGATTATGGGGTCTCCAATTCATCTCGTTCAGACAGTACTGGGTCTGAACCAAATATGAGGCCATGCTTGTCCTCTCATCATAACTTTTCAAGTAAACGATACTTCATGTCTAAGCCTATTCATCCATTGTCCTTTCCAATGGAAACTCCCAGAGAAGCTTCAGAAGCTGCAGCTGCAAGATTTTCGGACTTTGATGTGACCACACCCCAAAGAGATGCCCACAGTTGGAGCAGTACCAACAGTAGCCTTGATTTTGCAGATGTTACTGAGTCATTTGAGTCGGAAAGTTTTGGTGGAATATTTAGTCCATCTGATGGTATTAAGTGTGGATTGTGTGAGAGGCTTCTCTCACAGAGGTCACCCTGGAGTTGTCGTCGGCTTTTGAGAGGTGGTGACATGCCAGTTGTTGGTGTCCTTTCATGCCATCATGTGTTTCATGCAGAATGTTTGGAACAAACAACACCGAAGACCTGGAAAAGTGACCCTCCTTGCCTGTTATGTGCAAGATCGGAGGATGAAACTTCCCCAGAACAGCAAGGTTTTTCATGGCCGAGGAACAATTTTCCTAGGCTTAGACCATTTTGTGAAGGTGGTCCATCAAGACCTTGGGGTTGTGTTCAAGTGGGAGATTGTGTTGAAGATGCTTTGTATGCACCTCCTCGTAATACCATGCTGTTACTGAACCGGAGTCGTACTAAGAAAAACATTTCTTTGAAAGGGAAAGAGTTTCCTGGCAAGTCGAGGAAAACCGGCTCACCTGCCATGCAGCTTTCAAGTGGAAAGTCTGTTGATTGCAATGTGGTTGGGGGCTCTCAAGACAACAGCAGGTCTTAGCAATACCATTACTTCCGTGAGTGATGAAAATGGTTCAATTTGTCATTTGAGGCTTCTTTCCTGGTTCGAGTTAGATTACATTAGCAGAGAGATTTCTAGTAAATGAGATTGGATTATGATGGCGTTCTGTATAAATGTGATTTTGCACCAATTTGTGGATGGAATCAAAGTTGAATTACCCTTTTTATATTTTGCCTTTACAATGAAAGAATTGAAATGTGAAACTGATTCTTGCTGTGTAGTTCTTATACTCAAACACCAAAAGCTGTGAAAGCTAATTGCTTTAACTAAATGTCTGAATATGTTATTGTTAGAATCATATGATACTAACATAGTATAACCTATCACTTATTAGCATACTTGATTGATCTTCATAGGATCTCTCGATTTAAAAGCTTTAAGAAAGCCTAAGATCTCTACGAGTTGCGTGAAGAACGGAGGAATAATTTTCTTTCCCTAATTTCACCCTAAATCTATGAGCTATAAGTGACGATAAGCTTGAAGGGAAAAGGGATTTCCCTAAGTTCAGCCGCGCCAAGGAACAAGTAACTTGATCTTTATTTTGGCTTTGAATTAGAGTTTAGTGCATATATAAAGAACGTGAGTACATTTAGCTTTGCAAGTGTTAAGTTTTAATGAAAGATTAGAATCAACTCAAGACTTGATGAAATCAATTATGTGGTAAGTATTAATTTTGTTAGAACAGAAAATATAAAAGGTTTCTATTCAATTAAAAGGTTACGCAAATACATAACAATTTTACAACTTATATATAGATAATAATAGATTTTTCTATTTATGGTTATTTAATTGTTCATTTATCATGATTTAATTTTTTGTTATTGTACTTTAATTTCTTATAATTGCTAATTTTTAATTTTATTTATAATTTATAATTTTCATAATTTTAAATTATTTTTACAACAAATCTATCTAATTAAAAGTTAATTAAATATAAAAATTTTAAGTTTGCCATGTCTATCCTATATAATGTCAAGAACCCCAAAATTTTCTAGGGAGTTTATGCATGTTAATCCTTGTAATGTGGTGATAAAATTTGCTATTGACTATATTATAAACTTATTAAAAAATTATATATACTTAAAATTATTTATTACTCTCATTCTACATTTAAATTCGAATATCTTATTTTGATAATGACTTCATTGTCTTTTAAAAGAAATGAAACCATTGTTTCATTGTTTTTTTTAAAAAAAAAAAATAGCAGGGGATCTTTTGCTTCCAAACTATATGAGTATTGTAACGCCCGGAAAATTTGGAAAAATTTATTATTTTATTATTAAATATTTTTATTAAGTTAAAAAAAAAGCGCCACGTCAGCAGACCCGGTCAGCAGTCCTGGCCAACCAGGACCTGCCACGTGGCAAGACCACGTCGACCGGGGACGGGCCACGTTGGCGATCCGCGTACGCGCGATCGGACGGCCCAGATCAAGCGTGCGCACGGACGGCCCAGATGCAATCGCACAGACGGCCCAGATTCAATCAAAAACGGACGGCCCAGATTAAATCAAAATGGACGGCTGAGATCAAAAGGCAAAAGGGTATAAATAGAACCCCCATACCTGACCACAAAAACCCTAGCCGCCTGTCCTCGCCGGAGAAGACGAACCAGACGCCGGAAAAGCTGGCCGCCGCCACCCGCCGCTGCACCGGGGAGATTTTCGACCGCCGATCGAGGTAAATTTCATACCCCCGACTCGTTTTTCCATGCCGATTTCCCCTGTGGCCAAATCGGAGCCAAAATCCCGGCCAAACGGCCGAAACCCAGCGGCGCCGCCGTGCCCCTCTTCGGTTTTTGCTTCCGATGAGGCCCTTCCCGGCCTCCGTTTTATGCAATTTTTATATCACCGTGATCACCATTCTTTTCTCTACAGGTTGATCGGAGCCGAATCACCAAAACACGAACCTCACCGGAGAGCCGCCGCACCAGAGAGCACCGCCGCCGGTAAGCTTCGGTTTTCCGTAATTTTTTGGCCCCCCGAGGGCCCTAGGGTTGTTTTATCACAAGGACCGATGCAAGTGTGGCTGAATTCAGCCGAAAACGGCCAATCCGAGGCGAATCGCCGCCGCTTGCGGCGGCGCCGTCGCCGGAGCACGGCGGAGCTGCCGTGCCGGAATTGCGATATTGGCCAAAAAGGGGCCCTGTGCCTAATTTGGGATTTTTTGGAACACGTGTAGGTACCGGTAGTGCGTTTCAGTTCCCCGAAAAAAATTCAGGGAAAATTAGGAACAGCCTGTAGGCGCACTGTGAAGCCGTGTTCGGACTCCGAAACGAGTAAGGACCCCTCACCCTATTTCCTATCTCGGTATTAAAGTTCAATAATGATAAAACGGTATTTCTTGAATCAACGAATGTGTGAAATTGCTTAAGGTCGCTAATGGAGCCCGAGTCTAGTGTGTTTGTCGGTTAACTGTTATTTGGCATATTTTACAGTTTTAAATGCAGTATGAGGTCTGATGTTTTCATTTCATTGTTTCGCGTGCATATTTTACTGTTTTATTGATTATGGGTTGAATGACTGAGAAACCGATGCTGTATGTTGTCTTGTTTGGCATAAATTACTGTTTGCTTGTTTGTATGTAAATTGATGATACTGACTGAGGAAAAAGAGAATGAAAGATTATGTAAATTGATAATTGTATAAGGTGGTCAGTCTGACTAGATATCCTGGGAGATGGTGGACAGACCGGGTCCGTAGGGAACCCTACCGGGATTGTGGTCTCTCATACCGGACGGAGTATGGAGACCTTATGTGTTTTGGCGCCCATACCGGACGGGGTATGGGGACGGCCCGTTTCACCCTCATACCGGACGGGGTAATGAGGTTTATAGTTTTGGTGCCCATACCGGACGGGGTATGGGGACGGCCCTGGAATCTGATTTCAAGTGTTAAGGGTTAACGGGTAGCGGGACCCCTATGGATCCCCACGGATACTAGTGGGCTGGTAAATGAGGAAAATATGTTGTGTAATGATTGAATTACAAAAGGCGTGATAAGTATTATGTTATACAGTTTATATGATTTTATGATGATGATAATGTTATTGCTTTCATATATTGTTTTATGAATTTCACCGAGGTAAGTGGGTGGTAAAGGATTTATTATGGATAAAAGGATTTGTTGTAAATTATGCTCCATTGGTCTTTTTGTGTTTTCTACCCACCTTTACCTCCGTGACGGTGAGATATCGTGATGTCTTTACTGGGCTAGTGTAGCTCATTCCTTATTTAATCATTTCAGATCAGGAAGACATTGTTCCCGAGCCCGTTCCGCAGGAGGACGACGAAGGGGACGCCTAAAGACTCCATAGTCATATTCATAGCTTTTACTTTCGAGTTTCTCCTTTAGTTAGTTTGATCTTTTATATTTTGTGAGCACGTTTTTGGTTTTAGTGTAAGGGATGTTAATCGAATTTTTGACTTCGCTTCCACATTTGATATTTTTAATACATATTTCATTTTAAATTTTCGGGGCCGTTACAAGTATAGATAACTTTTAAAAAATAAATAAATAAATATCTAACTAATATATCCAAATTTATAAATTTCATTAAAGTTGGTAGAATTTATAATTTAATCATTTCAATTCAACATTTAATTTTATATGAGCTTAGTTATTAGTTTATGGAGGTTCTTGTAATCTTCTAGCTACAAATTTTTTTATATTTATTTCAACTTTGGTAGATTTTACACAAGCATCACAGTTGAAGTAAATGTTTATTTGTAAACAAATTTTTTGAGAAACAAAAAATTAATTTGTGAATAAATTTTAAGAAGAGAACTATTCAAGACTATTCGATTTATTCAAATATAATTTAAAATTTAGTAAAAAGAAAGGGAAAAAATAAATTGAAAATAAAATCTCTAACAAAAGCTTCTTTTTAGGATTCAAACAGAACTCTTCTATTAACCTTTTTAATTTTATTTAATTATATAAATTGTTTAAGTTAATATAAACCAATTAAATATAAAACTGTAAATTAAAAATAACCATAATAAAATTAGACTTAACATAATTTAAAAATGTAAATATCCGAAACTTAAAAAAAAATAAATTCATAAATTAAATGTGGAAGCGAAATAATAGAGT